AGAGAAAGTGAATGACTTGGATTTGAAATTTAATAAATTGGGGTAATTTTATTATATTATAATTATAAAAATTTAATTAATTGATTTAATGCCTGATTTTTGAAAAGATTTTTGAAGTTTATTATTTTTGAAATGTAATTCTTATATATAGGATTTATGTATTGATCCCTTTTTTTAAGCTACTTTTTAATAACCCAAATTAAATTACTCATAGACCCGAAATTAAAGCCTCACAAAGAATACATATCCTTAGTCCCTTACCGACCCAATTAAAATCTCATAGGTCCATCCACAATTGTTTAAACCAATTGAACTTCTCCCAATTCTCCATTATGTATTCTAAATTTAAATTGAGGGTTGTCGATCTTGGGCTACCATTGGTTCTCTTCATTCTCAATTTCCCATCCATCTTCAGTTCAGCAATTCACTTTTTGGTTATACAAGTGAAGCCAGTTGGTAATAATTCCCTTTCTTTGACCACATTTAATTCTAATATTCTATGAATGCACTGTCTCTCTCTAACCGATTGTATGTGTATGTATAAATTATTTTAATTTGCATGAGTAATTGATTATTAGTTTATTCTATTATTGGCTATGACCTATGAATTTGTCTTCAGTTTATGAGGATTAGTGTTTAGTTTACGGTAGCTTTTGATTCTTTGACTGTGGACAGTTGACTACCTTTGATTTATGAATTATGACATATGAGGAATTCATGAATATAGTACTACTCATTGGTTTATCAATTATTATGCATATATTTGTGCTATCATCCTTATGAATAGAGGTGTCAAGACGGACGGATCGGTCAGACCTGTGAAAATCAGCTTGGATCAACCCGGGGCCGCAGGCCGACACGTGACCCGAGCGGGCGGTTCACGGGTCAAAGAGGTGTGACTCGCGGACTTCGCGGGTTGCACCTTCACGGGCCAGCGGGTCCGTGAAAAAAATAATAATTCATGTACTTAAACTATAAATTATAATAAAAATAGGTGCCAATCTAATTGGGATATACTTATTTATACTATAAATATTTGATAATAGTAATTAGAAATGCATTTAGTTGTTATTTGTTTAAGTGAAATTTACTTTGCAAAATTATAAATAATTCATATAACAT